CAGGAACAGCATGCAGGCTACAGACTTGAGAATGCTTCCCTCAGGACTGGAATGCTCTGGCCAGCCCTGTCCCTGACCGTGGGCTTGTGTCTGGTAGGCTGGAGTCCCGCATGTCCTCAGATCTCAGCCGTATCCTGCAGCTCCTTCAGCAGCCCACACCCCCGGGCCACACTAGCTACATCCTAGGAGCCTCTGACTCCAGCGACCTGGCCTTGTTTCCTGCAGCCTCGGCCACCCAGAGTCCGGGGCCCAGGCTGCCTCAGGGCCTTCTGGCCCCTGCACAGGTGAGAGGTGAAGGAACCCCCCCACCCAAGGACTTGCCTTCCTTACCCTCAGCTTGGTCTCAGTGTGGCATCAGGCCCAGAGTCCCTGAGTCCCCAGACCCAGAGTGGCCATGGCATCTGCTGTCCTCCTTTGTGATTAGAGACATGACAGGGCAGCCAGGACAGGGTAGTGGCAATGCCCAGGTTATAACCACAGGTCCTTCTGGGGGGAAGGGTGTGGGAAGAGCTGGCCTGTGGGGGTTCCCCACACCGTCTGCCTCCCTCTTTCTTGGCCCTCCCAGACTCTGAGCTATGGCGACTTGGACAAGTATATGCCGGAGCACAGGAACTCCTCCAGTCTGCCTCACTTGGCTGTGGCAGTGGACAGAACTCTGACAGCCTCTTCAGAACAGGAGCATCCTGGCAGGCTCCTGACCCCCCTGGCTTTACCTCTGTGTCCCCTTGAGGTGCAGGGACTCATCTGTGGTCCTCGCTTCCCCTCTCTTCCTGAAGATCTTGACTCTGTCCCCAAGCAGCTGGAGTTCCAGAGACATGGCTCAGACCCAGGATTTGCAGGGAGGTAGGGGCCCTGAAGCCCAAGGTCAGAGACACCATGAGAGGATTGTAGATGGGGGAGGTGAGAGTTACAGATCAGCCCCTGAGATGGGCCTCTGACAACCATTCTTCTAGGGTAGCTACAAACTGCTGACCCAGGTGACCCAGGATGGCATGGTTGACGAGGCTCAGAACTTTTCCCCTTCCTTCTCTGGGGCTCCATTTAGACAGGAAGCCTGGCGGAGAGTTGGGGATCCTGAGACATGGGGTAGCTTATGGGACAGAGGGGTCAGTGAAGAAAGAAGTTTCTGATCACCTGTGCGAGCCGGGGTTGACCTCCACCATACCCAGTGTTTTGCTCTGTGGTGTGTGCGATCACCTTCCAGCTCAAAACCATCTGCCACCTCACGTGCCAGCACCAAGGCTGGGGTGGTCAGACCTGCCGAGAGCCTTGGATCCAGCTAAAGATGGAGGTACCCTGTGGTGGACGTGTTGGGGCAGAACTCCAGCCCTCAGTCTCTGCCCCTGAGGGTTCTGTGATGACATTTAGTTCTCTTGAAGGCAGTGGTGTGTCATGTTGGTAATAAAATCTGCATATTTCATCTTGGGCCAAGTGTGTGACTTATCTGAATGTCATAAGGTTCTTGACTGTGCTGTGACCTCTGCAAGGCCTTCTCACAAGGAGCTGCGAGGCTCACTTTCCACCATATGCAGTGCTTTGGGGACCTGAAGGTGGCTCTGTTGGGCCCAGGAATCATGTCCTACACAACAGAAAAAGGAGGGTGTAATTTGGTATATGCTTTCAAAGCAGGCCATTTGAATTGAAATTATGCCCTCCTTTTCCTATTGTTTTGGGCATGATTCTTTTTCCTTTATAAAACTAGTGTCAACCCTCACTTACACTGCTCCATTTCTATCAAAATGGCATGGTGATTTTAGAGCCACTGTCATTCATTGAATAAACAGAGAACAAGCCCTACTTTGTCATAGTTCCTTTTTCTCTTCTCACAATCCTGATCTCTCCCCCTTACTTTATTGTTTATTTTATTTATTTATTTATTTTATTTTTTTTTTTTGGAGAGGTGTTTGCTATAGGGCGCATGCGCTCGCCAGACAGACAGAGACATAGAGACAGAAAGCGAGAAATCACCCCCCGGGGGGATGGCCACGCCACAGTCCCTTCTCCTCCATTCTCCTCTCGGGATCTTGGGCACGCACGCACACGCACCTGGCGTGAGTTTTAAGCCACCGGGTCTGGGACACAAACCGCAGTCGACTACATGAGAATCCAGCAACATAGCCATTACGCTAACTGCTGGTCCTTGTTGTTTGTTTTTTAATTTGCCAGAGGGCATGTACACTCACTGGAGAGAAAGAATGAGGGAGAGAGGGAGAAAGTTATCTCCCCATCCCCCACAGGGCATGGTCACGCAGTAATCCCTCCTCCTCAATTTTCTCCCTTTTATTTCAGGATTTGGGGCACACATGTGCATGCACCCAGTATATTTTACAAGTTGTCAAGGTCCAGGACTGGAACTGCACAGTTGACCATATGGATCTAGATACCTTAACCACCATGCCATGGGCTACCTCAGCTTTTTTTTTTTTAAGTTCATTTATGAGAGAGAAAAGGGATCCCTGACAGACTATTGACACAATGGGATCCTCTCCTCCAAGCCTTCCAGCCAGACAGCATGGAGAGGGGGACCTGTGGGCATGCCTGTGGGTATACCTGGTATGTTTGGGTCAACCCAGGATCCTGAGTCTTCCTATATGGCTGCAGGACTGTGCAACTGTGCCCTTTAGCCTGAGACACTGTGGCTGGGCCTCACCTCTCAGTTTCATCTTACATGTAATTATTTTTATGTTCCAAAGTCTATACTTGATTACTCTATCCTTAGTTTGTAACACAAACATGTATACAAATTGAAACTTAAAAATTGTTGTAACCTTTCAAGACATTAACGGTTATCCTTGTTATTAATAGTTGTTAGAGTAACATAAACTTACATTCAAATTTTTATAAAAACTAAAATTTTATTGAAAATCTCTCTTTTTTTTAGAGAGCTTTTTGCTATAGGGCGTGTGCGCTCTCCAGAAAGACAGAGAGACAGAAAGCAAGAAATCACCTCCCAGCGGGGGAGGGCCATGCTACAATCCCTTCTCCTCCATTCTCCTCTCAGGATCTTGGGCACACATGCACATGCGCCCAGTGTGTGTATAAGCCACCAGGTCCAGGACTCAAACCGTAGTAGACTACATGGGAATCCAGCGATATTGCCATTATGCCAACTGCTGGTCCTGAAAATACATCTCTTAAAAGGAGGAACCACCCCATTCATTCTGTTGTTTGTGGATTAATATCATTATTTTTTATTAGACTAAGATAAAGTTCTACAACAATTTTGTACCTATTTTTTGTTCTTTTTCTTTTAAAAAAAAAGTGCAGAGAAAACTTGTTCAAAAGTATATAGAACCAAAAGGGGGTTGTCACATGTAACATTACCCCTCATTTCTTTGAATTCTGAGTTGTCTGTTAAAATCATATTTACCATTACGAATTGTATTTAATGATACAATCTAACAATTCAATAAAAACTTCCTTCGATTTTGATGAAAGTAAAGAATCAGAGACCCTTTACATTTTATAAAGGTGTTGCCTAAGTTACCACCCTTCTCCTTTCAAAAGCACAAGGACACCAATAAATTTAGGGCTGGATTACTATTTGCCCTGGGATCTGGGGCAGGGAAGAGCCAGGACACAAACAAAAACTTAAAAAGAGTCAAGTTGTTAGGATCAGTGCCTCCTGAAGGCCAACCCTAGAAATCAGAAACGTTTCTAGACTGTGGGAAGGCCTAATTAAAGAGAGCCTAGCCCTGAATACCTCTGCGTACCAGAGGCCTGTCCTTAGGGCACTGCGAGAACAGAGGTCTAGGCTAAAAGGGGCCCTGGGACGAGTCGGGAGGGTGGGTGATTCCCGTTTGGCGCAAATCAGGCCGCCTGGTTATTGGGTTTGGTGCCACGAAATGCAGTTGGTCCTCCATTAAAGCGGAATTTTAATTTTACTCGACAGTGTGAAGATGCCGCTCAGGATAACAGCAGTAGAAGGAAAGTCAGGGCAGGTCATACCAAAGGTTACACGCTCGGAGACTTGGCCTAGAACTTACAGGCATGCAGCCCCGCAAGCTGGCCTCCAGGCCACCCACGGCCCCATTCACCCGCACTGCGCCGTTATCTGTCTGATTGATAGGTAGGCCAGCCAATGACCTTTGAGACTGTGAAAGCACCGCCTCCAGGAATTGGGCAGGGCGAGTAGTTGGAAAGACAAGTACTTTCGCCAATAGTAAAGAGACCTTAGACTCTCTGGCCGCAACCAACCAATGAAAAGAAGGAACCGTTTCGAAAGGATGTGTCAGCCAGCCAACGGCCGGCGCCGAAGCCAGGGTCGCGGGGCTTCCGTTCCGAGAGGGCGGGGCGGCATCCCAAACGGAAGGTGGTTGTAGTCGGTGCCGAAGCTGGTTTGAAATTGGGGGTGGGGCCCGGCGGTCGTTTTTGTCGTCGCGGCCCTGCTTGCTGGCGAGGCTGCTCCTCGCCGCCCCCCACGC